CCCCTAAAACTAGTTATAGACAATGGTGAGCCTGTGTGTGTGTGTGTGTGTGTGTGTGTGTGTGTTGGGAATCGAACCCTCATCCTCTGCAAGAGAAGGCAGTACTTATCCCATGAGCCATCTCTCTAACCCCAGAAGATCAAGTGTTTTTTGACAGAGGGTCTTAATTTGCAGCTTAGACTATCCAGTAAGTCACTAGACCACTAACACTTCTCCACCATGCAGTTCAGGCTGTCAAAGACCACTTCTGATGGGCCCCAAAAGCTGTAACAGCCACGTACAGTGGCAAAAACCTTCAATCCCAGCACTTGGGAGGCAGAGGCAGGCACATCTCCGAGTTGAGGCCTGGTCTACATAGCGAATTCCAAGACAGCCAGAGCTACATGGTGAGTTGCTGTCTTAAAAAACTCCAAACGGGCTGGAGAGATGGCTCAGTGGTTAAGAGCATTGCCTGCTCTTCCAAAGGTCCTGAGTTCAATTCCCGGCAACCACATGGTGGCTCACAACCATCTGTAATGAGGTCTGGTGCCCTCTTCTGGCCTGCAGGCATGGGCATGCATGCAAACAGATTATTGTATAAATAATAAATATTAAAAAAAAAATTCCAAACAGAAGCTGGACATTGAAGGCACACACCATTAATCCCAACACTCACAAGATAGAGGCACGCAGATCTCAGAGTTTCAGGCTAGCTTGGCCTACAGAGTGATTAAGACAGCCTGGGCTACACAGAGAAACTGTTTTGAAAACAAACAAAAACACACCATCCATCCATCCTCTGAAAACACAAAAAATGGAGGAAGCTCCTCAGTCTCAGGAGGGATCCCTCGGGTCTGGGAACCCTGAGGAGTGGCTAGTGGCCCTCGGACACCAGTGATTGCTTGAGGGACAAGGACAGCCCTGCCTCTCTGACTCTACCAATGAGAAATGTCTGGAAGCCACAGGGGTCAGGATGGTACATGCAGCTCATACACTTGCTTTCTGTGAGCGTGGATGACGGGTCCCAATAGTTGGACAACGTCACTGTGGCCCCACAGGCCTGACACCTCCCACTGTCCTATTCTACTCACGGACGACAAGCAGCCTCACCACCAGCCAGAACAGCTTTAGAACTTAGAAACCAAATGAAACCCTCCTCGTGCCCATTTCCAGGTCTCTCTTGGCTAGTCCAGCTCTTCCCAGACCCCAGGGAGGGCTCACCAGTTCCCCGAAGGTTGGCGACGGACCCCAACTGATGGTGCTCTCATCGGCCGCCACAATGATGCTGCTCTTCCTGCAAACAGGCAGAAGCTGTCACCACCCACCCGAGGCGAGGACATCTTGCAGGCCACCTGTCCCTCTGACTTGTGTCAAGGACACCTCTTAACACAACCACCACCTCAGTAAGGAGTGAGAGGCTCCTCCTGGCCAGGGATGGTCCGCATTCATTAGCAGATCAATACCAGAGCCAGGGCCTCACTGCCCATCTGTCCTGGGAGAGTCCTTTGGGAGAAACACTAAGGTGGGGAACAGGCCACATAAGGACAAAGTGACAGTCCATCCTCAAGAGCAAGTTAACAAGAGGGACACTAGGGCAGGGGTGGAGGACAGACAAAGGGACCAGGGAGCAACAGCTCAGAGCCAAGCTAACCACATACACCAGATTTATCACCTATAAGCACTGGGTAATTCAGCAGGTACCTTCAATGCGAACATCAAATTAAAAGTCGCTTTCCTACCCACTTGCTGTGTTAAGAAAGTAAAACCCTATAGTTTCCAAATTCAGGAAAAACTGCCTTATAAAACTTTCAGAATTACTTTCCATAAAGGAAGGAGCCAACTATCCTAGCCACCAGGCCCTCACTATCCCCTCTCCCAAGTTTTGGGGATTTGGAATTTCCTATCGCCAGCCAAGAAGACCCCAAGTCAGCACTCACAGAAGCCTTCCCAAGGACACGGGCACACAGGGCACCTAACAGTCACAGGAAGAAACAGACACCACGCACCTTTGGCACAGTCACTTACCCACACGCGAGGCTCCGGATCCGCCAGCCACAGAGGTCCTGCACTGCTTTCGGGTACATAGTAGACTCACGGGATGTATTGGTGGCCCCCCAGAAAAACAGGCCACCTAGAAGGAGCAAAGCACATTAGTGTCACAAGGAAGCATCTCAGGATACCAAGGTGATAAACCTGCTTAAATGGACATTGCAGAGATAGAGTCAAGGACAGAATGGCTATGGGCCCTATGGGGGGAACAGCTATCCCAAGGGGGAAAATCTTGCACATGGGACCTGGGAAGACGGGTGGGGGCAAATAGACACCGACCCACTTCACTGACGGCAAAGGAGCAGGTATAGCCAGCGTAGATCTGGGTCGCACCACGCCCTGGAAAGTCAAACAGCTTCACCAGGCGAGGCACCATCTCATCCTTCTGCTCTGCATGGCCCAGCCGGCCGTAGCCACCAAAACCCCAGGAGAAGACTCGCTTCTGTGAGTCCAGGACCAGCTGCAGGGGAGAGGAGACACAGACTGTGACTCGCAGGTCATGGCTTCTGCCCAGAGGACCTGGGATAGCAGCAGATAGCAAAGGAGCAGCCCAGAAACTTCACAGCCTATAAGGCAAGAAGCTGGCTGGCCACACAGACAGCCAGCAGGGGCCAGCACACACTTCCTTTTATAGAGGTATGATTTTCTTTTTTCTTCCCTGAAGCAACACTTGAGCTCCTATTCCAACACTGTCTAAACTACAGACAAAGGAGGGAAAGGCTGCTACCCACCTGCTCTGCGCTTGCCGGCCACAGGTGCACAGATGTGCCAGCTGTTTACCATTTGTCTTTTCTGTCTTTGGGGTTTCACAGCTAAACCCCATGAATGTGCAAACTCAGCATGGATAGAGGATGGACAGTTCAGGGCCAGAGCACTTGCCCAGCATGTGCAAAGCCCTAGGCTCCATACCAAGCACTGCAAAACATATAACATGGGTTGCCCCAAGGTCGAAATTGGCATCCTGGTTCAAGGACTTGCAGGCTCGAGACACATGCGTTCTTCACTGAGCACCACCAAGTCAACAGAGAGTGGCCCTGGGACTCAACTCCGGGATTCCTTTCTGCTGCCAAAGCGGAACACCCAAACCAGACACACCCACTCTCAGCGAAGAGATCGAGAAGGGCTAATGACAGGTGCACGCTGCTCACCCCTCTGGGAGTTTGAGGCCAGCCTGGTCTACAGAGCGAGTCCCAGGCCAGTCAGGGCCACAGAGGGAGACTATCTTAAAAAGAGGATTGGTAAGATGGCCGAGCAGGCGAAAGCACTCGCCATGCAGGACTGCTGACTGGTGTCACTCAGTGTCCTAACTTCCACACACTCCTTCAGCGCCTATGTCCTCACAAAGACGAAGAGCTCAAGGCAGCAAACGCACACAGGCTATCCTCCCAGGGTTGTTCTGCTCAGAGGACCTTTAGGGGACACGCCCTCAATAGTTAACCATTCACACCCTGGTATGAACTCATATTCATAGTGACACAGTACGCGCGCACATGATACACCTGGATGTGCATGTTCAGATGTGTCTGTGGCAATCAGATCACGATGGAAACACCCAGCCTAATGACATGAAGCAGAGTAAGGCAAACACCCAGGACCGGTCTATACGAGCATGGATGGTTTTGGACAGTGAGAAAAAAAGAAAGCTTACTGTGTGGTTAGCACCACAGGCTACATCTCGAACTACCACATTTGGGACAGGCAAGATCTGCCCGTCCTTGGTCTTCTCAATGAAGATGGCCACCCGCCGGGGTACCAGCTCACAGTCATACTCTATCCGCTGTGCCCGGGCGATGAATTTCCCATCTGAGTTGTGTCCTGTGGTAAGCAGAGTCAGCCATCAGCAAGAGCAGAATGCATAGGGCATGGAGGTACACTACTACATTTGTACTGTCACAGGCCCAGGTCCACCCTGCCCGCAGCCCAGCCACTTGGTCATGAGCTTGTGGTAACTTAAAATGCATATAAAACAACAAGGATACCCTATGTAATAGGACCATAATTTAGGACAAACCCTACATACACTCTAGGAGGAAAGGGAAAATGTGTTTCCTCCTGTGGCTGAGGTCACAACAGTAGGCAGCTCTCATTGTAAAGCCAATCAATCTACCAAGCACCTGGAGTTGGGAGTTCTGAGGACATCCAGAAGGGAAAGGGTGAGCACAATCGCTCACAAAATTCTCCATTTCTCTCTACAAATGAGTAATTTAAACATACTGCAAAGGACATATAAACCTGAAATTCACAAACCACCTGCAAGAAGTCATGAGGGCCTGGGTCGGCATTAGCTTCATTGGTGAAGGGCCTGCTCCAGCCCAGCACTGAATTCCCATGTCTGTGGCCCTAGGACCCAACATTTTCTGGCTTCGTGCATTGATGATATATCCCAGCACTTAAGAGATGGAGGCAGGAACCAGGAGGTAAAAGCCATCCTTAGCTACACAGGGAATTTCAAGCCAGCCTGGGCTACATTGAGTCTATTTCAAAAACGAACAGATAAGGCAGCGTGGCCCACACCTTTAATCCCAGCACTCAGAAGCAAACTGATCTGAGTTTGAAGCCTGTCTAGTCTACACAGCAAATTCTAGGCTAGCCAAAGAAACAGTGAGAACCGATCTCAAAAAAACAAAACAAAACAAAAAAAACAACACCCAACAACAACAACAAAGTAAATAAATAAAACCACCAAATAAACAGAACAAGTCACAAGGGGCCAACCTGGGCCCACTAGCCAAGACCCTGGTTGCTTACAGTCCAGAATGTTCTCTGCCCCACTTCCCAGAAGTGCTGTGACAATGTGTGCTGCATCCACCTGGCAAGGACTGACTCATGGGTGAAGTGCTGTCATGGCAGGACACTGGCTGTCCCCAGTAGGCTGTGGTTCTGCTCATCAGACCTTTACAGGCAGGGATGTGTGGGTGCTGCACTACGAAAACAGCCCTGGACTACAACCTAACTGAGCACATCAGGGTGCTGGGCTTGGCTTAGGTGTTGTCAAGGCCTGCCTTCTGTGTGCAGTTCAGATCACCCTCACACACCACTGCGAGGTCCCAGGCACTGAAAAGCCTAAAGCTACCAGGAACCTTGCCATCTTCCCAACAAGTTCTCTACTACTGACCAGGGCTCCAAGCAGTGTCCGCCCAAGTGTTAACTACACCCAGACTGTCCCAGAGAGCAGCAGGCAGGCCCCGCCACTGTTTTTCTTCCACCTCCTTAAAGACATTGTGATCAGCACCTGGCTGCTGTCACAGTGCAGGGACGCTACCTTCTCCTCTGGGAGGAATTCAATGTCCTTCACCCAGGCACTGCAACAGAACCCCTTCTGAAATCACATTTGGATTCTAAAGGCAATGTCTACCCCGAGACAGGAGCAGAGTTGGGAGACTGGGCTTTCACTACGCAGCCCTGGCTGGAACCCAGGTAAACCACGCCACCCTCAAAGCTGCTGCGATCCTCCCGCACTGCTCTCAGCTGCTAGGACCGCAGGTGTGCTGGCACAGCTGGCTCTGAGCAGGAACACGCTTCACAGTGAACTGCTGAGTTCAGAACGAGAGGCTCTGCACACCAGGTGAAGCGAGGTTCCTAGCTGCACACAGCGCCTAACTGTCCCTTCCAGAACCACCACCCTTATTGCAAAGATCAAGCTGCTGAAGGGAAACAGGCTGGTTTCATCAAAATGCTTGCCTAAAGGTGGCAGGCAAGCTGCACACGTAGCAGGAAGCACAGAAACACACTTCCTGTGTTGGGCCTGGGGTGGCGGGAGGCCTGCCTGTGGCTATGGAAACCGTTTATCCAACAAGCCCTGAGAACTCCCTGGCAACCAGCACGGATGTGCGTAAGGGGCTGGTCGAACTTCTTATTCACTTCTGACTTGAGGTATATTTAGTTTCCCAGAGTCACTGTTCCCTGTAGTCTACGGCCAGTGCAATCTCTGCTGCTATTTATACTCTCCCATCTGCGCACTTCTAATGACGCTGGGACCCAGCAACCCAGATCCGGGGCTGCTGCAGGCTGTTCAGACACCAGCAGGGGGCGCCCACACCTCGCCTCCTGCTCAGGACTGGAGAAGGCACCAAAAGAGCTGCCTCGGGAATCAGAGAAAGGAAAATGGAGACCTTGCAAAATTCGGGCGGCAAGCTTTGCCGGCTCTGAGGACAGTTTGCTGACCTCCTCTCATCTGCTCTGTGCCTGTATAACGTCCACTGCGGTGAGGGATGAAATGCAGACATGTCAGCTGCTTATTCAGTCAAGATTCTCAGAACCTCACCCTTATGTAATTCTCTCACTCATAAAGGCTGAGAGTGGCTCGGCTTTTGTCCTTTCTGTCTGAGATTCTCATACTAATGGATTTCCAAACCAAAACAAAAGCTTTTTGCCAGACGCAATCCTGATGTTTTCACTGAGGTAGAGCATCTTGACCCCTGTAACCTGTGAGTTAACAGCAAGCTGGCCCGCAGAGCATGAGATGCACTTAGCAGGAGCAGATACTGTCTGGATCAATTACCCACACTTGTAACACATGTGCGCAGCCCCACACTGCCTCCTGGCTCTACGCTTAGTTAGATTACAGAGCTTTTAAGAAATAGACTTCCATACCCAGCTGGCCATATTCAGGGCACCCAAAGGAATAGAGGTTGCCTTTACAGTCCATCAGCATGCTGAATTCAGCCCCGCAGGCCATCTTGGTAATTGGCTGCCCGTTGTACATGATCTGAAAGGAAAAAGCCAACTTTCAGCTCCTTGTTATCTCTTCCTTATTCCACCCTGGTGCGAAGCAGAGGGCTTACCACAGGGGTGGATTCTATGGCTCCATGGCCACCACTTGAACACCTGTTAGCACAAAGCTGACCACCCCCCACCCTCCCAGGACAGCAGAGGCTGAGAACATGGCTTCATACTCTGGAGTCTCCTAGCAGCAACCCCCACCCCGCCCCGCCCCGCACCATCTGGCACAAGCACAGGGACCAGAGCTGGAGGCAGCAAAGTCCTGCAGTGACCCCAAAAGCTGACTCCTGGTGCTAACACTGCTATAAGCCTCAAACAAGGAAGTAACAACCAGGGCTTCTGTAAGTGATAGGCTGGTCCCACCACACAGGGACAGAAACCTGGCAAAGGCCCTGACAGAAGTAACAAGCATTTAACCCTTGATGGTGTGGGCGAACATGGCGCCCAGGCTCATCCCATCCTTACCCATTCTAACTATCCAATTCCACTCTGTAACTCATAGCTAACAAAATAGGAGTCCTTCATTATCCCTCAAACCCTACATGCATAGCCATGAGGTTCCCCCCACATGCACCCCTGAGCCATTGGCAGTCGGCACCGTTTTCCAGAGTTTGGAAGCCCCCTGCAGAAACCCTCACTCCATTCTGAGGTCAAAACTCGCTATCTGCCGGATGGTAGTGAGTACCTTTAATGGTAGCACTTAGAGGCAGAGGAAGGTTGTGTGGGTTTGAGGTTAGCCTATTCTACAGAGTGGGTTCCAGGACAGCTGGACCTACACAGAGAAACCTTGGAGGTATGGGGCAAGGGTCACAAACAACAAAACCAGGGTGTCTGCAGGCGAGGAAACCCTTGCATCCCACGGCAGGGCTGACCTAACATCCTCTCCATCACCTGTTCACAAACCTAAACTGCCCCAAGTCCACAACCTTGCTGGTACCTGAGCAGGGCTCGGGACAGCATCTGTCTGGTTCCCAAGGCCCAGTTGTCCCATCTTATTTTCTCCAAAGGCAAACACGGAGCCAGTGTCTGGAAGGAGAGAAAAACATGACAGAACAGGATGTAAGGGATCAACACTTTCAAATGGATTTGGATCAGTGTTAGGAAACAGCTCACCCTGTAGTGATATTTTGTTTGTGATCTAACAAATAAAGCGTACCTGATCAGAGTGCAGAGCTACGCCACTAGTTAGCCACAGAGGCCAGATTGTGGTGGCACACACCTTTAGTCTCAGTACTTGGGAGTCACACGCCTTTAATCCCAGCACTAGGGAAGTAGAGACTGGCAGAAGGAAACATGAGCTCAGATGCAGTCTGAGGATTTGTAGAGATAGGATCGCCCTTCGGTCTGAACACTGGCAGACATAATGGCTCTCTAATGGCTGGCTGCTCTGCTTCTCTGATCTTCAGTATTAGCCCCCATAGCTGACTCAGTTTTATTAAGAATAACCAGAATTCATGCTACATCACCAGAGAGAGTTGTGTGTGTGGCCATCTGTCCCAAGGATGGCAAGGGTACAAAACAGAGCTGAGTACTGCCACAAACAGGACCTGGTCTGGGCAGCCAGGGGCCACCACAGGGACTCACAGCCTTCAGGAAGACACCCACCAAACTGGGGCATCACCACCCTTTTGACACTGGCCCAGACTCATTCAACAACTTCACCTACTCCAGAGAATACATCTTTGTAGCCTTTGCCTCAGCTTGAGCAAAGAGCGCCACCTTCTTACCTGTCAGCGCCAGGGTGTGGTTGCGCCCACAGGCTGCCAGCACGATGGCCTCGTGACTGAGTGCCTCAATGAGTCTAGGGGCTTCAACCCTCTTGGTATCACCGTGGCCCAGCTGCCCCTTTTCATTCCGACCTGTGAGGAAATCATGGCTGGCTAGGTCAGCAATGCAAGGACAAGCTAAGGCAGCACCCACTCCATGCCCCAAAACAAACCTTCAGCAAATCCCCGAGAGAAGGATGAGCCTGGCTACTCTACCCAGTGAAAAGCCCCCCCCCCCCCCGCAAAATATCCCAACAGGAAGTAGACAGCTATGGGACCATCCTTCTTGGGGAATATTATTTTCAGATGTATGACTTTTGTTTATGATGAATTTGTTAACTCTGTGACGCTGTTACTGTGCCTGTCTAAAACACCTGACTCTATAAAATAGAGATGAACGGCCGGCCAAAAGCGAGGCAGGAGGTAGGGCCGGCAAGCAGAAAGTATAACTGGAAAGAGAACAAGGAGCAACTGGAGAACAAGGAGAGGACATCAGGGGCCAGCCACCCAGCAAGCCACAGAGGAAGAAAAAAGCCCAGAGGCAAAAGGCAATTAAGATAATGTAAGAAAAGCTAGCAAGAAACAAGCCAAGCTAAAGCCGGGCATTCATAAGTAATAAGCCTGTGTGTGTGTGATTTATTTTAGGAGCTGGGTGGCAGACCCCCTCAAAAAGCCAAAAGAGAAAAACATCACAGAACACAATCCCAATGGCCCCCAGTCCCTGTTACCCCAGGAAATGCTTGGTGTGGCCTGAATGCTCCACAGGCATCAAGCTTTAGGAACCCCATGCCCACTTGCCTTGCCAAGGCAGCCGGGAATCCTGTCCCCTCCTCCTCATAGGGGGTCTAATTCCCACTGCTGATCTTCATTTCTCATGTCCATCCCCACCCTGTTATAAGATCCAAGCCCTGAGGCTGGAGAGATGGTTCAGTGGTTAAGAACACTGGCTGCTCTTCCAAAGGACAGGAAGGAGTTCAATTCCCAGCACCCACAGGGCAGCGTCCAACTATCTGCAACTCCAGCTCCAAGGGATCTGACACCCTCATGTCATACAGACATGCATGAAGGCAAAGTCCCAATGTACACTAAATAAATCTTTAACAACAAAAAAGCCCAAGCCCTGAGTCCCTCATGACAAGGGTCACCTTCATCAGGTCAGCTGTGCTGTACCCAAGGGCGTGTGAAAGCAAGCAGGGGACCAATCCCTGTGGAAGCTTTAGCAATGCACAGCTCCTCAGGGAGCCCTGATTCAGCTGAGGACCGGCAATGGGTGGGTTCCAGGGACAGCTGGAAGCCCTGAAATCCCACCCAGGTTCTAACACAGATCCAAAACAAAACCGAGTAACCCCAGGACCATCTCTCTCAGAGATGCACTCAGCAGAAGGCCACGGGCAGGATGGGGTTCCCACTATATCTTCCCCACTGGTGAGCGTCCCCTTCTGGTTAGTTCAGTCATGAGACAGGTGAGTGAACTGAGGGAGCCACAGCAGACTGCAGGAGGCAGGCAGACAGGGGACCAGCCTCCCTCATAGGGGGACCCCTCCCAGCAGATGGACATCAATTAAAGGGCTAGTTTCAGGGTCCAGTGCTGGGCAAGCACTAACTTCAAGAGGAGCCTGCCACACCTAAGTCCAGTGGCAGGCAGGCTGGATGTCACTCAGAGGCCTGGCACAGAGTAGCAGCCTCTCCTTCCTGCTTGGGATGCCTCTGGCGCCCTTCCCCTCCCCCAAATGTCTCACAGTGGTCTCATGACGTCCTGCAGGTCTCTACAACCCTGCTGCTGTTCTAGGGAGCTCCCCCCACTCTTACTTTGGAGGAAGCACTCACTCCTGGCACAGAGTCTGCCCTGAGGTGCAATTGAGAACCCGAGTAGTGGTGAGACCGGCATGGAGATCAAAGGGTAGTGCTGAAGCCGGGGAGCTGACCTAAAAGGCCTTGGCGGGTACTGAGGACACAGCAGCAGGGGATGCGGGAGGGGCCCTAGACCAACCCAGAGAAAACAAAAATTGGGGCAGATGCTGGTGTGCCACCCAGAGCCTGGGAGGATAAATTTGGGCCACACACACTTGTTAGATTTTTTTTCAACAGAATTATAAAATTAGCAAAGTGCAGAGAAGACGGCAGATGTTAATATATTTGGACTCTGGTACAGCAGCTCATGAAATCACCAAAAAATGGCTCAAACAGACCAAAATAAAAACGTCATATGGATTAGAAGCCAGCCAAAGGCTAGAAACAAACGAGAGAAGCCAACTCCCCCAGCTGCATGAGCCCTGTGGCTTGGATGACGCGAGCCTTGTGCAATACCTCCCTCTGGCCCACCTGGAAAAAATGATAGCTGGGAACCACAACACAGCCTGGCAGGAGGGAGGCAAGGGAAATGTGGGCAAAGGCCCTAAATCAGACTTGAGGCCAGGAGCCCCAAGGGCTCAGCCACAGGGGCCTTGTAACAAGATGTGGCAGCTACAAAAGCTGGGGGCGGCATTTGGACTGTGGGGACACAGGCCTCGTGTCCCATGGTGCCTTAAGCAGGACAAGGGCCGAGTGCAGGGACAATAGGCCAGAACAGATGGCTGGTCAGAAAGATCATACTTGTCAAGTTCAGAAAAACGTTCTTCAAGAAGGATTCAAAGAACAGGAAGATGGCTCAGCAGATAAGAGGAACTGGCTGCACAAGCCTGGAGACTTGGGTTCAATTCCCAGAACTCACAGAAATGTGGAAGACAAGAACTGACTCCCAAGTTGTCCTCGGCTCTCCACATGTGCAAACATGCAGATGCACGTGTGTGCGCGCACGCACACACACACACACACACACACACACACACACACACACACACACGGGCGGGGAGGGGGGGTGGAAACAGCCATGGATCCAGATGAAGACAGAACCTCTTCCAGGTGACTCTAAGTCACACTTGAGAGTATGTGTGTAGCCCACACCCAATACTTACCCCAGCTCCACAGCTTCCCTTCTGTGGTGATGAGGAGGCTGTGGGCAGCACATGAACCCGAAACCACGGTCCGCACCCGGACTCCCGACAGGCACCCATACCTATGGGGCCCCCACAAATTCTGACCAAGGTTGCGATAAGCAGCTGCAAAGGGAAGAACACAAACTAAACCCCTGCAGAGCACAACTGGACAGGTGAGGACACCCCAACATTAGCACCAGGGGTTGGAAAAACCAAGCCTGCCTGGGGTCACTGGCCGGTCACCTCTACAGTGATGGCACCAACACCTCTCCTCTGACCCACAGCTGCTGGGTCCCAACCCTACTACAGGGCAGGGTGGCTTTCTTGCACCCTACCTGGAGTGACACACGCTCATCACTGGGTGCTCCCATCTACCCTCCTACCTGCACCTCAGCCTTCCCACAGCCAAAAGGCAGGTCTTTCTCAGCAGGGTTTGGTGTCCCCATCACCCTTAGACCTACTTGCTTCCTTGGATGGAGGGCCTATCACCATCCACTCAGCTTACCCACACCCAGGAACCTCAGCTTGTCACCTGACTTGCCCAGCAAGTCATTTCCTCTACACATCCTCCCACGGCCCCTACTAGCCCTTCAGACTTTCCAGAAAACCCACATCTGACTTTGCACTGTACCCCTTATTTAACCTGTACCCCACTCTAAGCATCCCACCTATAACTGCTTCTGTGACAGGGAGCAGGGACCAGGCCATAGACCTGCCCTTGCCACTCTACTTCTCAAAGCAGGGGAGTGACTTTCTTTTACCTCCAGGACAATGGTGGCTATCTTGAGAAACTAGCCACAGTTCAGGTGACTCAGACGTGGACTGGCTAGCAAGTCAGGGCCTTCCACTGGTCACCCATGAACTGCAACAGTACCAGGTTCTAGAGGGGGTCAGAGTGCAGCAGAGAATGGCCAGGCTCTTAACTAGCTGGCTCTCCAGCATCCCACCAATGCCTCTTTCCCTGAAGAGGGTGCCATCAACTGCCACAAGAACATCAGGCCATCTCCCCGTTCCAGGGACTCCCACCCCCTATTTCAGTCGAGAGAAGCCCAAGTCAAAGTCAGCTGGCAGTGGTCTCAGCTTCAGAGCCAGGCTGGTAGGCATTTATCCCTCGGTCGGTTTCCAGACCCCCAGGACCTGGTCCTTACCACAGGCTATAGCAAAGACCATGATGCTGCCACACAAACCAGGCCACATTAAAGGTAGGGAGTTGCAAAGATCCAAGAGACAGGGTAGGTAGGTATGTGTTCCTCCTCTACCTACAAGCTGGTGAGAAGCAAACCTTGCCTAACAGCTCTAGGCAAAGTTACGGACAGCCCAGACATACCTAAATGACTTCAGAGACAGCAAAGCCAGGAAGAGCAAGTGAAGATGGGGGCAGGAGGCTCCCTGGGATGGGTAGGTTGGCAAGACTCCCAAGACTAGCCCAGGGTGCTCTGGACTTGTGGCACACAGAGGGCATGGGAGGGAGAGTCAGATAAAGGTACCTCTACCATATCTACAGGGCAATAGACACACTGGCGAGCAGGAACCCTGTGTGCCCTAGCTGCAATGGCCACTCTGTTCACTCATGAGGACTGGTAGGCGCCCAAGGCTGTGCTGCAGGATGGGATCTTCCACAAGAAGGAGCGGCAGCAGGTCAGCTCCATCTACACCATGCAGGGCACCCTATCATCTTCCTGAGGCAGGATGATGGCAAAGGCTCTAGGTTTGGGCGCTAGGGTGTGCCGGTGTTCAAATATTTGTTCACGGACAAAGCAATGCTGGGAAGCACTTTGGGCATGTTTCCAAATGAAATCAAGAGCCATCAAATGTGGCGCTGTGCCAGCCAGCCCTCTTCTGAGAGGCCCTTCAGGAAGGGACCCATCTACAGGCAGCAGGTCACAGGAAGACAGCAGGCCTGCACCCATTCTCTCTCCACAGCTTACTAGTTCCACTGAGGTGTTCTAACAAGCCAGTGAGTAGCCCGGACATCTGTCTGAGGCCTCATTGCTCCCCGAACAGGGCCAGCCTCTTCCTTGTAATGAAAGGCAATCTCAAGGACTCAAGGGGCCCCGAGTGATCTGAGTGTTTTAAACACAGGACTGTGAAGGGACAAGCCTGAGACCAGAGTCAGCTCAAACGCAGCCCCCTCACCTCAGCAGAGAGGCTTTGTGGCCTCAAGCCATTTGCTTGGCTTCTCTGAACAAGCCCACAAACACAGAGAATACCTACCTGGTGGGCAGGTACTAGCATTCCTCTGGCCCCCTGGGTTATAAGAAGCAGTCAGTCATCTTTCAGACAGTTTCTCATACCTTGCTGCTTAGGCACTTCCTTCCGTCCAATCAAGTCCCAGTTTGTTGCCCCAAAAATCAAAAGCTGCCCTTTGCATTTAGACCCTTCGAGTTTCTAGAGAGAGAGAGAGAGAGAAGGCCAAGAATTAGCTTGTTAAGACTGCTTGCGGCTGGCACTCACAGCTGTCCTAGGAAATAGAAGACACAAGGTCTCTCTCTACAGCCTCAGCCGTGTGGGTTGCAAATGTGCACGCAGCACTGCACCTGGCTTGAAAAAAAATTCTTGGCTGGTGCTTTCATACTGGCACAGATCCTATTCAATAAGCCCCTCATCTATGTGCTCCAAGGTAGGCAACCCCAAGCCCATCCCCAGAAGTCTCGAGACTGAGCTCAACACTAATGCTGAACCAAAGGAGAGCTCTGCTCTCCCCTTCAGAAGCCCGAGAGGCCAGTTACATATCCCACACTCTAAGCATCATGGTGTCTGACAGCCTTCACACTTCAAGCCCCACATGTCTTCCGCATGGTCACCATGCCATCAGTTCCATGTTTTTAACAGGGAAGAAGGAGGAATGACAGCTGGGTACCTATCTTCATCTGGGAGATGGAAAGGGTAAAGACAAGGCTCAGCTTTGGTGGGGCCGGAGGGTCTGATGCAGAGGGGCCTTTCATGGATCATTCAATGCTGTCCACAGTGGGGACAGGACCAGTGGTTAAAGGGGGACTTTGTCACTGGGACGTCCAGACAAGAGCATGACTCCTCGCCCCCTCCACATGTAGAGATGGGATTTTGCTCTGCAATTCTGATTGCCTCTCAATCTCAGTGGTCCTCCTGCCTCAGCCTCCCCGCACCAGAGTACAGGTATGCGGCACTGCACCTGTCCAGCCATCTTAAAACACAGAAACCCACAGCTGGGCTATTGAGCCCCACCGCCCATAGAGCTCACACTTTAAGGCCACTACACAATTATGGGCTGTGCCCATAAAATCATTAGTACTCTCTCTTTGCCTTCAGGTCGAATACATTTAATTCTTTCCTTTCGAAATTACTTGTAGGCTGCTGAGCTGGCTCCATCGTGCAAACCCAATGAACTGAGTTCAAATCCTCAGGAGCCATGGCCTCTGTGTGCTCATACTCACACACACACACAATAAATAAAATGGATGTCTTTGAGGAAAATGCACTTTTGCTTTGCTTGAGACAAAGGCTCACTATGTAGCCCAGGCTGGCCTTCATTTATATAATCCTCCTGCATTAGCCTTCCAAATGCTGGGATTTTTTTTAAAGGTTTTTTTTTAATATTTATTTATTTATTATGTATACAATATTCTGTTTGTGTGTCTGTCTGCAGGCCAGAAGAGGGCACCAGACCTAATTACAGATGGTTGTGAGCCACCATATGGTTGCTGGGAATTGAACTCAGGACCTTTGGAAGAGCAGGCAATGCTCTTAACCACTGAGCCGTCTCTCCAGCCCCCAAATGCTGGGATTATACCCAGTTTCCAAACACACTTTGCAGGGGCAGAGAAATGGCTCAATAATTAAGAGCATTTACTGCTTGATGGAGGAAGGTCATTGAATAATAAAGAAACTGGCTTGGCCCATTTTATTGGTTAGAACATAGGTGGGTGGAGGAAACAGAACAGAATGCTGGCAGGAAGAGGAAGTGAGCTCAGAGACGCGATAGCTCTGCTCTCTGAGGCACAGGCGATGAAGCTCCAACCCAGGATGGACATAGGCTAGAATCTTCCTGGTAAGTGCACCTTGGGGTGCTACATACCTTATTAGAAATGGGCTAGTCCAGGTGCGAGAGTTAGCCGAGAAGAGGCTAGATAGAAATGGGCCAAGCAGTGTTAAAATGAATAGTTTGTGTGTTGTTATTTTGGGGCATAAGCCATGAGGGCAGCCGGGGTGCTGGGGACGCAGCCCCGCCGCTCCAATTTCAACACTTATAGAGGACTCGGACATGCCCACACAGTTTTGTGTTCCTAGTACCCAGATCAGATAGAGTGGCTCAGAACTCTATAATTCTAGTTCCAGGGGATCTGACACCCTTTGACCTGAGGGCATCTGTGCACACATGGTATAAACAGGCACACACACACAAACCGAAATAAAATTAGTACAGAAAGAAAAAGAGAAAAGGAATTCTTTGTAAAGTATATTGTAAGCTCAGTGGAAAATGTCTAGCCTGGGAAAATCCTTGGACTCCATCCCCATTACAATAAGCAAATACAAAATAAATAAAAGCAATTAAATAAATAAAAAATAATAAAATAAATAAAAGCAATTAAATAAAGTCAGTTGTTAGGCTCAATCTATGTACCTACCCCTATACTCCTCCATCCTTAAGAAAGAGACCCTTGTGGAGGCCTGGAGCAAACCAGAACTGAGCAGCAGCTGCAGCTCCCAAACCTCCAAGCCCACAGTGGCCCCAGATCAGCTGTCCTGGACAACACCCTCCACAGTCTCCATTTTATTGGGGGGGGGGGGAATCTGACGTCCCAGGCATTCCCAGTATTATGGTCCAGGAGGCAGATGGCAGGGACCAAGCTTCAAGACTGACTCTCCGCCGCAGGCCCAGGCCTCACAGGACTGGAGTGGCCTCCCTGTTCAATTATTCAGGAGTGTGGAGTGCGGGGCAGCCTTGCAGCAGCAGACTCAAGTTACCGAAGAGAGCCTACTTTCCCTTCCTCTCTCCTTTGTTGAACGGCAGGTGTGGCTGGAAGTCTACAAGCCTCAGCCCATAGCACCGGGCCCTCTGTAAGGCCATCACTTACTGTGTATGCTCGACCACTCTTCAGTTCAGGACTTTGAAGGGACCCAGCAATAGATGGGCAAGGTCTCAAACCCAGCAGGACTCCAGGCCAGACAGCACCGCACTAGCAGCTCAGCACTCGGAGAGGTAATCACACAGCAAAGCTTCTTGAGTGCTGCGGCCACCCCCAAGCCGAGCTCTACCAGTCCAAAGGGCTGGCGGCCAGTGTCTACTGCCTGGGGTTCCTGAAGCTTTCATGCCAGCTAGTATGTACAGGAAAGCCCTGTCTGTGGGCAACCTTGCCTGGATGCCCATTAAAAACACGAACTGTTACACTGGCTCCAGTTTCACATCATGGCCCGTGTTCTCACAGAAGATGAGTGATTGCATTCACTGCCAATACCTACACACTCTTTACTAGTAACCCAACAGTTCATCTCTACAGCCTATGTCTTCCCTCCTTCTTAGGGAATAAGTGCTATTAGAATGCCCTTTCAAGCAAAGCCCCCAGCAAAAAAAGCAAAAAAAAAAAAAAAAAAAAAAAAAAAAAAAAAAAAAAAAAAAAAAAAAAAAAAACCAAAAAACCCTCAATCACAGAACTGCAACAACCTATCCCATAAGCCTGTTGGCATATCCAGGGGACCGGGGTGAGCAAATGGATTTGGGAGGGCTTGGGGGCTCAGTGGAAGAGCATGTGCTTAGCCCTGGACTCAGTCCCAAGCACTGGAGGGAAGGAGGCAGGGAGGAAAAGACAGGAAGAAAGAACAAGCCCATGGTTTCCCTGCTCTGCAAAGGCTAGCCCAGCCTACACTGTACCTGAAGGCATGCAGGCAAACAAAGGCAGAGTCCAGAATGGGGTAACTCCATCTCACCTAGCTACCTATCTCCCCATGACTGGTCACAAGACTGACCTGGGCCCAAATGAGTGGCTAAGACAGAAAATGCACTGAGTATCTTTAATCAACAAACTGGGAGTACTTGGCCACAGCAGTTTCTGAATTGTTGCCCAAGTACACTTCGCAAGGCTGAGAGTCAACCTCTTCACATGGCCATTCAGGAGACGGATGCCCTGGGACGAGGATCACAGAGCTGGTAACAACAGTCCCTGAGGGCTTCCAACCCTCCCACTTCAGGCTTGGTATTCAGCTATGTTCACTATGAATGGACAATGTGTCTCAGGGTCCATGAAACCTTAGCAACCCATTAAAAAACCCACAGACCAGGCGGTAGTGACACACTCCTTTAATCCCACCTCTTGGGAGGCAGAGGCAGGTGGCTCTCCAGGCTTAAAGCTAGCCTGGTCTACAGATCGAGTTCCAGGACAGTCAGGGCTGTCTATATATATATAGAGAAACCCTGCCTCAAAAAACAAAACAACCAAACAACCACTCAGAGCAGGACCACCTGTGCCACTCACCAGTTTCTGAGGATTCAAGCAAGACTACCGGGAACGATGAATCAGCCTCTTCCTTGAAAGACAAAATACACATCCTACACAGCTACCTGTGAGCCTCCAATCCATGACTAACATGGGACAAGACCAAGTCGCTAACTTAGGACAAGATTCAAGTTTTCTACAAACTGACAAGTCTCCTGTCTTTCCTAGCACACGCCCCTCAACAATGCAAGCATGTGGCTCATCTTCCCAAGCCCAATACACCTGCAAGCTCAGGATAAGGGAAGGCGAAGGCCAGAGGCTCATACACTGGCAGAGGAGCCTCCTTCCAGCAACCCACAGGAAAGAGGCTGGTGTCTGTTCAGTGAAGTAACTTCTGAAAGATCAAGAAACTTTAGCCTACCACAGAGAACAGTCCCTGATCTGCCTAGCAGAGAAAGACCACACTGGGCAGTCTGCTGGCCTAGGCCTGTGGGAAAGAATGCAAGGCTGTGCTCTTGACCTTGATAAACCCAAGAAACTTGCCAGATGCAACAGTGTATCTCTTCTGAATCCTCACAGGCCTCTGCCTTCACCCATCCTCTATGGCCCTGTACTCACTCACCAGTGTGAGGATCCTCAAGAGGCCCTGCTTTAAGGTGGCAGACACAGCTTTTAAGTTCCTGTTTCTATACATATACGGGAAGTTAGCTGTACACATAAAACAAGCACAAACTGCAGGGGGCTGTTTCCCTCAGAGATGGCATGTCCCAGAAGGACACAAAGTGCCAACTGCAATCCGGGGTTGGAGGAGGCAGAGACAGATCTCCGAGTCCCTGCTACACGCCTCCTTCTTCCACTCCTCATGCAATCCACTCCCACGCCGTGGGTTAAGATATCCTTCCAGACTATAAACTCGCTGCTCTTGCAGTGGACTAGAGCAGTACAGCTGTTAGCTCAGACACAGATAATCCAATTCTACGTGACTTTCCCAAGCTCGTGAAAAACCCCACACAACAGAGGCAGGACCCCATCATGCCTCCCCCCCGCCCCCCGGTTTTTCGAGATAGGCCTAACTTCTTAATCCTGTCCAAACTCTCTGAGGGGGGGGGGGAGTAGGAGACCAATTGGAGAGTTCCTCTTTTAATAGGCGGGCTGAGACCATCGCGCTATCTGGTTGCTTCACACAGGGTTCCCCTGCATGCCTAGCCAGGCCCTTCCTTCCACTTCAGGGCTGTTTGTGAAGCACGTTCACGGGCGCGATCTGCGATGGTTAAGGGCTCTCTACGATCCCGTCTAGTGTGCCTGGATGGCTGTGAAGCGTCCAGGTCCCTTTAACCCTTGTCACCTCTCCAGGGCACCCTCCGAAGCAAGGGTGACTCTCTCCGAGGCTCAAGCCCCATCTCTTTCTTAGAGTTAACATGAGAATGTGGTTTCTTGCCGGGATGGAGAGAAGTGTACCAAAGAAAACTAGCACACAAAGTTCTAGGAGGGACGCTGCGGACCCTGGGCCCGGCTCGTACCGGTCCTGGCGAGGCTTTTCCCGCAAGCAGCAAGTTAGATGGCCGAGACTAGAGTGCCCGGGCGGGCCGACCCCACCGGCCCCACGCCGCGGCCACCCGAGGCAAACAAAGCCCAGCGCCGCTCTGCGGGGGGTCGCGGGTGGGAGGAGGCGAGCCCCCGGGCGGGGAGGTCCTCCGAGGAGCATGCGCGCTCACACCCGCGCGGGCCCCCACCATGCCCCGCGCGCACCGGCCGGCCGACCGCGCCGAGTACCCAGGGAGCATGCGCGCCGCGCGCCAGGCCCCGCCCCCCCGGGGCGCCCGAGCCGCAGCGGCGGGAACCTCAAAGCCCCGGCGCGAGCCGGCAGCTCCCGGCGGGTTGCACCCCTCCCCGAGGAAAAGACGCGGAGGGGGGAGTAGAGCGAGGGGGGGGGAGGACGCACCCGCGGCAGAGCGACAGCCCCCGCGTGGCGACGCACGTCCCGCTCCCTCGGCCCGGGACCAGCTCCCCCGAGTTCCCCGCGCGGCGTGGGGGGAGGGGTGGGGCGTGACCCCCGCGGCGCCCCTCCCCCCAACCGCCAACCGCCCGCGCCCCCGCCCCACTCACGACGCGCTCCTTCGTGTGCTCGGGCTCGGTGATAACCGCGGCCGCGCCGCCCGCTTTGCCCGCCGCCGCCGGCCTGGCCGCGCGCTTGCCGCCGCCGGGGGCTCCGTCCAGCTCCGGGCCGTCCTCGTCGCCGCTGCTGCCGCCGCCGCTGCTACTGCTGCAGCGCTCGGGCCGCTCGCGCTTCCTGCCCGCGGGGCCGCCGCGCCTCCGAGGCCCCGCGCGCGCCGTGCCGTTGCCCGAACTCGGCTCCTCCCAGGCCGCCCCCTTCTTCCTGGGCATGGTCGCGGGCTGCGGAGACACGGGAGCACAATGCACACGGGCTGGCGGCGGGGCGGGGGAGGGGAGCGCGGCGCGGCGTGGGCCGCCCCACCTGCTGCTCCCTCGCCCCTCCCCACGCCGCGCGCCACGCGGGGACCCCCCCGTCGCCCCAGCCCGGCCCCAAGCACCTGCGAGCACGCGCGGAAAGAGGAACTTTCGTGGGCCCCCTGCCCGGCCCCCGCTGCCCCGCACTCGCCCCGTCTGCTTTTTTTTTTTTATTGATTTTGAACAATGGGATCTCTGTCTGTCTCCGATTAAACCACGTGGATCCGCCTTCCTTCCCCTTCTTATTCATTCCGTTCCCCAACCCCCCCCTTCCCCAGCGTTGTTTTTTTTTTTAAACCTTTCTCGTTGGGGGGGGGGGGGAGGAGGGAAAAAAAGGGGGAAAAAAAACTTTCCCAGACCCTGCAAACTGGTCCCTGACGGTTTCCAGCCCCTACCTGGTTGGAGTGATGAGAAAAGGGAGGGGGAGCGATTGAAAAGACGGGTCGACGGCTTCTTCTCTCCCCGACCGGGACGAGGGCTCCAGCCCACTCACCAGATACACTTAAAATGTAAATACGAGCTTCCAGAACAAATGCTACAACACAAAACAGAAACACATGTGCGGCCGGGCGGCAAGCGAGCGCGCGCGCGGCGGGCGGCGAGTGGCCCCGGGCGCGCGCGCCCCCTACCGGCCGGAGGACCCCGACGGCCGGGCCACCCACCGGAGCCTGCGTCCCGGGCACCCGGCGCCACGCCGCCAGCCCCGTTGGGCCTGCAGCTGTGCGCTCCGCACGCCCTTCCACGCAGCGCGGCCTGCGCGTCACAGGCGTCTATGGGGCTCCAGAGAGTGTCAGATTCTCTTGTTTTTTCCTCTGAGCGTCTAGACAGGTCACCTGAGGACACTCGCTGGAAAATAGTTGCTTTGCTCACGCAGCAGCCAACGAGGGACGTGCCCTAATTGAGTGATTGGAATGAAAGATGAATACAATTTGAATAACTTTCTCCTGTGCAGGCTAGATTTTATTTGCCGTGAACGTGTCCCCAGGATGCAGCCGGGTGCTGTAACATGGTCAAGTTACATAAAGGTTTGATATACTAAGAAAGTAGTCATTAGCGGGGGGTGGGGGGGGAAGGCATAGGTGGACTTGAAACTTCTGGTGAAAAGTTTTTCTTTTCTGTTACCATATTTACTGCGCCCCCAGGACAAGCAAGACAAGATGCAAGGGAGCTAGATGCTGAAAGTACAGACGAACAAGATCTCTGCCCTATTGGAAGGCGGAGTACGGAGAAAGCTTAAGAAATAATTGAAAGCGTGGTACTTACCCCATTCCAGGATTAGGGAAGGCGTTTCCTGGGCAAGCTGGGTTGAGCAATTTAAAGAATCCGACCTGCCAGGAAAAGCATTTTCCCAGCCCCATAGAATAGTGCAGGGTTCCCCGGAAGGGAAGTGGCCAGAGGTGCTGGGGTGAGTGAGATTACAGTGGCAAGGCTGAGAAGTCGACCGGCGCCGGCTCGTAAAACCGGGCAAGCAACGTACAGGATTGTCGACTGGACAAAGATCGACTTGGCTGGTGCCAGGGGGAGGCTTGCATCTCAGTGTCACTTTCTCTTCTACCAAAGGTTTCTTCCGTTTTCTTTAGGGTTTTGTTTTGTCTCAGGCAGACCAGGATGGCTGAACCCACCGTGTAGCCCAAGCCGGATTGAACTTGATCCTCTCTCCTCCCCCTCTCAAGTGCCCGAGTTGACTACTGTGAAAGTTTCTTTTTTTTCTTTTCTTTCTTTTTTTTTTTTTTTGGCAACTTTTTTGGTTGACTAGAGAGTTCTAGGGTCTTTGCGGTTCATTCTTTTATTATATCGAGAAGTGGGGGTTCACTCTGAAAGCAGAGACTCCAAGAGAACCAAACCTAAGTTATTTGATAAAGTCACAAGTCTGTGTGCCCCAAGAGCCGGAAGCACTTATGTAAAACAGCTCCGAAGATGAGCATCAACTGGTACATTTTGGAGATATTCAGGTCAATACCACATAGGAGCACCGTTTGAAAGCCTCTATAGGCCAGGCATCCGAAAAGATTGAAGAGATTAAACCTTGAGGCTTTGATATAAAACATTAGAACCAACCAGAAAAGAATTCTGCCTTAAGTGTGCAGTCAGATCCCGGTTTCAGGAAACGGCATGCCAGAGCTTGTCGGGGGAGGCGGCTGGTTGGGCGTTTATCTTCCCGACAACACCCTGTGTGGCCAATTAGAAACGCTGAGGGCGCCTTTAAAAGGCTTTCAGGCAGCGAATGTCTCTTTCTTTCTCCGGCCCCATTATACTGCTTTCTGTCGGCGTAAAAGGCACATGCGTCAGAACCGCTGATGCAACCCGACGCTAATATCACGTTGCATCATCTGACCCAAGGTGTGGTGCTTCCAAAACTGGTTTTTCCAGAGGCCGCGCTGGAGAAGCTGCGCAGTTGGGGGATAACACCCACAAACTGGCCCACCTTGGGGAGTGATAAAAGTGTTTTCTGCCGCTACATGCCTCAGTTCTCCACTATTTCAGACCCAGGGAAAGCCCGAGTGACTCCTGGCTGAGATGGGGTGCAGGCGCATACGCTCATCAGCGAGGCACGTCGGCAGCTCAGCTTATGTAACCAGTGTGACAGAGTGAGGTGCACCTACAAGGCAAGCTGGGAGTGCTCCTTCCAACTCCCACTTAAGCTTGGGAATTTTACTTCATTTTAGTTGAGCAACTACTCAGGGACAGAAGAAAGGGGTGAAGATGAGAAAGGAGAGGAGGCACTGAGACTTCTGGGCCCTTCTCTCTGGGCACAGGTGACTGGTCTCCGTTTGTACGTGCAAATATGGGTGATCTTGCTGTTAGCTCTTTCTGCTACTCCTTAATGAAGGTTGGACTCAGCGACTGCCAGAGTCCTTCCCAGAGGGGCGATTCCATCCAGCTGGACCGCAGAAATCTCCCCTTAGTCCAAAGAGTCTCTGGTCCCATTTATATAAAAATGAAGCCAGCTCCTGCTGGTGGAGATGGTTTTGTTTTTAGACCAGGTCTCCTGTACTACAGGCTGGCCTTGAGCTAAAAATGTAGCCAAGAATGACCTTCAACTTTTGATTCACCCGCCTCACTTCTGGAGTGTTGAGATTACAGGCATGGACCACCACAGTCCATTTATATGATGCCCGGAATTGAATCGGCTTCATACATGCTATGCAAACACTCTACCAATCCTTGCCCCCAGCTCCAGATGGAAGTGAATTCTGATGGTCTGGGTATGTGCAATTGGACCACAATAGGATGACATCCAATCTGTCTGTGCTGTTGAACATGGAAGGAGGGAAACTACCAAACCCTTGAATAGGGGAGGTCCATGATGCAAATGTCCTACAGCGTAAACACTGGATTTGTTTGTTTCATTTGGGATTTTGTTTTGTTTTGTTTTCCTTTGTTCTTTAAACAATGTTTCACCGAGTAGCTCGTGCTGGCCTTGAACTGGTATCCTGTGGCCTCACTTCCGTCCTGGGCTTGTACCACCATACCCAACTCACACTACACTTGAAGACAAAAACGATCCATGACAGAGTTCATGAACTGTTTTATTATATTAGTGTGGGCTTGATGATATATAGCTATGTAGTCCCACTTGGGAAACTGAGGCAAGGGGGAATCATAAGTTTTAAACTGCTGGGCTGTGGTGGTGTGTGCCTGTGATTTGAGAGACAGAGACAGGCAGATCTCAGTGAGCTTGAGGCCAGCCTGTTCTAAATTGCGAGTTCCAGGACAGCCAGGACTGTTACACATAGAAACCCTGTCTCAAAACAACAACAACAAAAGTTTGAAACTAGCTTGGGCAATATATAGAGACCTCCCATAAAAAAGCAAATAGATGGGTGCAGTGGTGGTACTCACCTTTAATTTTAGCATTTGGGAGGCAGAGACAGGCAGATCTCTGTGGGTTCAAGGCCAGCCTAGTCTACAGAACAAGTTCCAGGACTGGCTTCATAGCTACAGGAAAACCCTGTCTCAAAAAATAAATAATTAAAAATAAATCTGCAACACTAACAACCAACAACAGCAACAAGAATAGGGCAGGCACGATGGCTCAACAGGTGAAGTAAAGGCTCCCGGCATCCAGCAGTGCAAGCATGATGACCTGATTCCTGACCCTTGGAACCAGCATGCAACCCGTGGTATGTATAATCAGTGACACTGTACATGCACCCACAATGATACATTTTTTAAATGTAAAGTCAAATAAATATTTAAAATAACATCGATTTCTCTTTGAAATGATAACATCTTGCCTCTCTAGGATTAATATACCAAAATTATATTTTTTCTTGGTTTCTTTCTCTTTTTTTTTTCTTGAGATAGTGTTTCTATGTAGCCCTGGCTGTCCTGGAACTTTCTCTGTAGACCAGGCTCACCTCGAACTCAGGTCTGCCTGCCATAGCCTATGAGTGCTGGGGTTAAAGACATGTGCCACTAGGCTTTTTCTCTCTTTTGCAGGGAGGTGTGCCAAGGGTTTCCTGTGGAGGTCAGAGAACAACTTTCAGGGTGCAGGAGTTGGGTCCTCCCGGGGACAGACCTTAGGTCTTCAGCCATTTTATTCCCGTTGAGCTGCACTGCAAGCATGACCGGAAAGCCAGTAGATGAATGGAAAAAATGAAATAAAATGAGGAGCCAGAGGCTGGAGAGATGGCTCAGTGGTTAAAAGCACAAGCTGCTCTTCCAGAGGTCCTGAGTTCAATTCCCAGCAACCACATGATGGCTAACAACCATTCGTAATGAGATAAAGTGCTCTCTTCTGGCCCGCAAGCATACATGCAGGCAGAACACTGTATGCATAAAAAAATTAAAAAACAAGAGCTCCATTACAAAATAAATAAAATAAAAATAAAGACATTCTTTGGACTAATAACGGAGATTTTTATTGTAGATATAAAGAGAAAGCAGGCAGAGGAAAGAGTCCAGGCTGAGCAAGGTCTGTGGACTGAACCCAACCATGGGAGGAGAGGGCCCAGAGAACAAGAGACCAAGAAGCGGTCAAGAGGTAAGAGGGCTAAAATAGCGCCACGCGAAGCCAGAATGGCTGGATTATATAGGGAAGAACAGGTGGGAGAAGGGCAGGCCCAGCCCAGTCCCTGAGCTGGAGAATTTAGGATAGGGGTGGGATGTGTTAGCCAGGGAGACTCTGTAACAGGTAGGAACTGAGGAATGCTGGGAGAACCTGGCGACCAGGTCCGTTTTAATGTGTTATTAGGCGTCTCAGCAGCTTGTCTGAGCTTTGAGGCCAAACACTGTCTTTGTGAGCGCAACTGGAAAATGAGTTGGTTGCTCTGGAGTCAACTCTTCCTGTTTTCGGTCTGTTTTCCTGTTAGTAAAATGGCAACGTTGATCTGGGGTTCCTTCTGAATTTATTATTTCCTCACACCCAGACCTGTAGGTAGATCTAATAATTAAGAGCTTTCCTGAGAAGAAAAGGTCTTGGTCTAGGGACTGGAGAGATTGCTCAGCACTTAAGACCACGGATGGCTGGCTCTTCTAGAGGACTTGGGTTCCATCCCATCACCCACATAGTGGCCCACAGTTGTCTGTAACTCCAGTTCCAGGTGATTCAACCTCCTTTTTTGGCCTCCTTGAGCACCGGAAATGCATGCCAGAGGGTGCACAGGCATACACACAGGCAAAACACACACATAAAAATAATTTAATTAAAAAGAAAAAAACTGTTCTATTTCTGATAGTGAGTCACGGAATTTTAGAATCCAAAAGGTCCCTAAATGTTACAGCTGGCCCTCTGAGTCCCCAGCCTGGCAGCTATCCTGGGATCAGTCTGTGGTTTTTCTGGCCACTATCTTGTGAGCAGCCAGGGCAGCTGGCATGGAGGTCTACATTTGCTTGCTGACCTAAATAACGTCCAGAAGAGGAATGGAAGTTCAGAGACGCTCGTAGGATTGCACAGCTGGCTGGTAAGACAAGTAGGACAAATGGATTGTCTCAGCCCCGGTCAGGAAGCTGTGATACGACCCTGGGACCAGCAGCATCAGCATCCCTCGGGAGTTTCTTAGAAACTAACTTACTAAAACAGAAACTGCAGGGGCGGGAGAGATGGCACAGCAGTTAAAGCCAGCATTGCTCTTCTCGGTACCCACATGGTGGCTGCCCCATGCACATGGTGCACTTACATACAAGGCGGCAAAATTCCCACGCACGCAAACTAATGTTAAGTTATATTATTATTTACTATATGCTATATTTTCTTTGCTTCATTTTTTATTTACATTCATTTATTTTTTATTTTATTTATTTCTAGACAGGATCTCACTACACATCCTTGGCTAGCCTGGGACTCCTTTTGTAGACCAGGTTGGCCTCGAACTCACAGAGATCTGCCTGCCTCTGCCTCCTGAATGTTAGGATTAAAAGAGTGTGCTACCATACCTGACTGTTATGATTATAATTATGGTTTTATCCAGGTGTCATGGCATACTCCTTTACTCCCCAGCACTCAGGAGGCAGAGGCAGGCTGTTCTCTGTGAGTTCCAGGGCAGCCTGGTCTACAAAGTGAGTTCTGGGACAGCCAGAGCTGTTGCACAGAGAAAGCCGGTCTCAGAAATCCAAAAGCAAGTAAGTAAATAAATTAAGTTATGATTTTAAAGACTTATTATTTTTATTTTATATATATGAGAGATTTTCCAGCATGTATGGCTGTGCACCAAGTGTACGCAGTACCCACGGAGGAAAGACTTATTATTTTTATTTT